TTCCTGAATATGCTTCCAAACCAGATATTTAAACAATTATAAGTAAACAATACATTTTGACTGCTGATCTACTGGTCAACCCAGTATGCTCAAATCCTTTCAAAAGTAGAACAGGAAGAAAACCATATCCAGCACATTATTTCTTAGGACTGGTATTTTTCAAGGGGGGCAGGGGTTAGATAGGCAAAAATAATTGCTAGGATAAATTCATAATCATGCAATGCGTAAAGCCTATCTTTCCTCCTGAAAAAAAGTAAATACCATATTTTCTCACAAACAACATGCACCTCTCCTCCCAAAATCAGCCCCCATAATTGAGGTGACTGTATTAAGCGGGGAAACTTTGTTTTGATTCCTGATCCACAGTGCAGCAGCTGTAGTATTATTGTTGAGGCGGCTGACAGAGTCAATTGACTTACTGGTTCATTGCTCTTCACTCTACAGGTGTTAACAATCATATCCTTTTTATAATCTTAATGTTCTACTAATCAAGCTAGTCTTAGGGAAGTTTTGCCAACTCCTTCCAATCTCAGTTCAAAAGCCTCTTTAGCTCTTTCAAAATCATAGGTCCACCCATGGAGACCAGACTTTAGCAACAAGTATAAGTCTAGCCTGCTAAAAGTCTGGATACAGCTATAGTTATGCAGGAAAGAGATAATAAATCAGCTGAAGATTAGGTTCAGTCCTTGCTCTATGCAACCATAACTCTGGAAAAATCTTTTTTGTTCATTCTGCCTTTCAAAACAAGGTGTGTATTATATTTGGGGATGTAAAGTATGCAAGAAAACACAGTATGAAGATCTTTACCCGAGTTGAGGCGATTTTCTTTTTAAGCCTTCAGCTCCTGTTAAAAGTCTTAGTTCAAAATTTTCTTTCCTGATGTTTACTGTGTAATTCCCTAAGAGCAGTGCTCATGTTTCAGCCTTAAAAAAATAGCCTGGATTTAGTTAAAGCTGAAATACAAATTATGTTAACATGTCAGTAAGACTGATCTGTATTTTGTGCCTAATTATATCATGATCACCCTTGTACAGGATGTATATTAGTTCTCATAGCCTCACAAACTCTTAAGCAGTTATTGGTTGAAGTGTTAGAGGTCACCTTAACCATTTATAGTAGTTTTGTTCTGTCATTAAGAGTTTATGGGGCTAAATACTATTTCAGTGCCCTCCCACACGGGAGAAACGTACATGTTTAACCACATGCTTAGCCTTACTAGGGATATATTTGTTAAAAGGGAAACCAAATCAAACTCTTCTTTAACCTCTCCATTCTTAAGGTGGAATTCTTAGCTATGAGTTACAACAGGGCTATCCAATTTCAAAGTGACCAAGGGCCACATGCCCCATGGGATGCATACTGTGGGGACAGCACTAGCAGGGGCCAAGGAAAACCTGCATGCATGTGTGTAGGCACTCCTTCCACACCTCACCTCACATTCAGCTCCCTGTGGGCTCTACTGGGCTGCTGGCTTTCCCAGCACAGTGGGCTGTGCCATATTAAATCACATTGCCCCACTCCTTGGGATAGAAGCATGCAGCAGAAGCCAGGGGAAGAAGACAGAACCCCAAGACCCCAGCTGCTGCTGCAGCCAGAGCAACAAGAGTAGCAGCGGCCAGGTGGGAGCTGGGGGACCACATCTTAAGCCCTCCCATGTTACACGTGGCCTGCAGGCTGCTAGTTGTTCAGCTGTGGGTTATAATTACTACATGGGACTATAGTTATATTGTCTTTGCCTATTTAACATAATTCTTTTAAAGATGTACATCTCTTAAAACAGGGGTAGCCTGCAACCTGTGCCACAAGTGACACTGGTAGCCTGTGTGCATGTGGCAGATTGGAGAAAGGACAGGCAGCAGCACAGCAAGAGATAGGGCAGAAAGCAGAATAGCAAATTGGGCAGGGGAAGGGAATGGAGCAGCACTTATGGAGGATACAATGCTAATTTGTGGCACACCTGCCAAAAAAAGTTGTACCCCCCATTGATTCAGAACATTTCTTGTAGCTTGCTTCATCTTTCAAATGTCTCCCTGACAAAATATTTTATCTACATGCAGCTAATTCTGAAGTGCTGGCTTTTGGCTCATGCATACAGCAGTTTCTTACCAGGCACTGGAGAGCTCTGACATGAACTGGAAGAGGAAGAAGGGGACTCACTGGTACTGGGGCCTCCATTTTGTGATGCTTGTGTTTCATCTTGTTCATACCTAAAAATATATATATTTCACTATTAAGCTGGGTTTGCTAACATGTTGTGCTTGTACATCTTTCTCACAGAATTTATTCCCACGAAAAACTACATTGCTATTTACCTTAGAGGAGTATAATTCTGAATACTTATTATCAGTATAACATGTTTCATCTTCAAAGTGTTACACAAGTTTTAGGCTAGGGACAGTCATTTGAAAAGCCTGAGCCTGAAATGATTTAATCTTTGCAGGTTAGTCTAAACTGGCTAGGCTAAACTAATTTGTAACCATAAAGAAATCCCCCCTGGACTGAAAAAAATGCAGGTACATGCCTGCAGTGGCTCAGGCTAGAAGCCAGGGGGCAAGAGAGCAGCCCTCCCTTCCGTCTTAGGATGCTGAGCTGGGGGAGAGGGGGCACAGCCAAGCCCCAGCAGGACACTGATTAGGGAGGGGTTCCCCCTGACCAGCCCAGCAGGGAATTGATAACAGACCATTTATCACCCCCAACTCAGTTTTTACTATCCCATTAAGAAAACAACAGAGGGACATTACCAGCTACCTGCTGATTCTGCCTTTGTCCCATCTGCCACAGCATGGACTGTAGCCAGCATGTGGTCTGTTAGCTAGTGCTGTGTGTCCATGTAAGGTAGAGGGGATGGCAGAATCCCTGCTGGGGGGCGGGGACAGGAGAAACCAGATAGACACCTGCAGTCTCTATTGGAGTTGCAGCCAGGGAGCAGAGGGGAGGGGCCAGCTCTGCCATGGAGCAGAGAGCCCTGCCCAGCCTAGAGAGCATGCTGGGATGTTGCATAAAAGCTGAAAAAGTGAAATGGACAGTGTGAATGAAATCTTGGTTCCAATAACATAACTGGCATTTTTTTGTTTTGACTCCTAAGGGACCACAGGATTTCACCCAAAGTTTTGAAATGTACAAAACAAAAAAAGGAAAAAAATGACCGTAGTAAAATCTATTTCAGTTATATTGACCACAGCTATTTGTTTTGGTTAGAGTAAAACTTTTTCAAAACAGAAATATAGCATCTTAATTCACCAACATCCACACATTTTGGTTAAATTGCTTTTGCTTGGGTTTTTTTGTTTTTTTTAGGATTCCATTTGTATTATCTGCATGTGTCACACATTCTTAATTTTGTTATGTATCCTAATTTCTGTAACAGTTCCTGCTTCTGGTCAGTTTAGCAATAGGTTAAGTTGGTCTAATGGCTATGTGACTTGATATTCTCAGGACAGGATTAGGACCAGCAAAGTTTGGGAAGATCTTGGAGAGAATCGTCAAGGAGCACATCTGTGGGGGGCCAGCAGGGGAGATCATGCTTAGGGGCAACCAGCATGGGTTCATCAAAGGCAGGTCCTGCCTGACCAACCTGATTGCCTTTTATGACCAAGTAACTAAATCCTTGGATGATGGTGTCACCATGGACGTAGTTTTTCTAGACTTTAAGAAGGCCTTTGACACCATCTCTCACCCCATTCTCATCAATAAATTAGGCGACTGCAGCATTGATGCCTACACAGTTGGATGGGTAAAAAATTGGCTGATGGGGCGCATCCAGAGAGTAGTGGTGGACAGGCTGTACTCAACCTGGCGAGATGTGAGCAGTGGGGTACCCCAGGGTTCGGTCCTCGGGCCCGCACTGTTTAACATGTTCATAAGCAACTTGGATGAGGGGGTGGAAAGCACGCTGTCCAAATTTGCTGATGACACTAAGATGTGGGGCGAGGTGGATACACTTATAGGGAGAGAGAGGCTGCAACTAGATTTAGACAGATTACAAAAGTGGGCAGATGAAAATAGGATGGGGTTCAACATAGACAAATGCAGGGTGCTGCACCTTGGAAGAAGGAATCCACAGCATACATACAGGCTGGGGAGCTCCCCTCTTGAAAGCACAGAGGCGGAACGGGATCTTGGAGTCATTATTGACTCCAAGATGAACATGAGCTGCCAATGCCAGACCGCAGCCAGCAAGGACAGCCAGACCTTGTCATGCATCCAAAGATACATCTCAAGCCGGTCCAGAGAGGTGATACTCCCTGTCTATGTGAGTTTGGTCAGGCCGCAGTTGGAGTACTGCGTCCAGTACTGGGCGCCGCACTTTAAAAAGGATGTGGCCAGCCTGGAGAGGGTTCAGAGGAGGGCCACCTGTTTGGTGAGAGGGCAGTACGACAGGCCCTATGAGGAGAGATTGAGGGACCTGAACCTATTCAGCCTTGGCAAGAAGAGGCTGAGGTGGGACCTGGTGGCTGCCTACAAATTCATCAGGGGAGATCATCAGCAAATAGGAAGAGCCCTATTCTTCCCAGCACCACCTAGGGTGATAAGAAACAATGGTAATAAGCTGATGGAGAATAGGTTTAGGTTAGAGATCAGAAGGCAATATTTTACAGTAAGGGTGACCTGAATCTGGAACTTCCCAAGGAGGTGGTCCTCGACCCTACCTTGGGCAAATTCAAAAAGAGGTTAGATGATCACCTGTCTGGGGTCTTGTGAATGCAGCATTCATTCCTGCCTGTGGCAGGGGGTCAGGTTAGATGATCTGTTCAGGTCCCTCCTGACCCTAGCTACTATGAAAGTCTTTGGTTCTAGTCCCAGCTTCACCACTGACTGGCTACATAGGTTGGAGACAGTTATGCTGTAGTCATATAGGGTGCTAACAGATTTGAAAAACAAGAAAGCAAACACTTTACTGGAAGAGGCAGTGCATTAATTTGACCTGGCTCTACAGCTTCAGTATAGATTGTGCGCTTCAGTGGGGCTTCTTGGTGCTTTTCTCTATTAACCAAGACAATTATCGATTAAAGTGCCAGAGAAGCCCTGCTGAAAAGCCCAATATATACAGACGGTGGGCAAGCTGGGACTTGCAAGTCAGAGGTAATATTCAGTTTCCCTTGGTCTGTTGATGCGAGTTTCTCTCAGCAACCCAAGAAACAAGGAAAAAAACCCCCAACCAACCAAAAGCTGCAAGAAAGTTGTATAAAAGCCTTCCCACAGCCAGCCACACACATCAACAGTCTTCAGTCTTCTTTTAAAAGCACCCCCTATCTGAAGGTGATTTTTCCTTGCATGCATGTCTACGCTATGCAGTGTGGCTCGCCTGGCAGCCTGTGCACTTCCTAAGCTGTAACACACGGGGAGTGAGGTGGACCTCGCAACGTGACATTATCATGCCCTCACTTCAGTGCTCCTTGGCTTTAAAAAGAAGCCGCCAGCACCAGACAACTCCTTGAATCAGTGTACACAGGGCAGGGGAGACGTCTCCTTCCCATTTTCAAGCAGCCACTGAACAGCAGCTGCTCCCTGGTGCCCCCTAGAGCACCTAAGGGAGAGGGACTGGCCTGCATGCTCCCCCGGCTGTCGCACTGGCTGCACCGCAGCATCAGCTTTCCACGCCCAACACACGCCTGCTCCCCTGCACCCCAGGACAGGCCTCCAGCTCCACCCATCATGTTTTACCGCCTGAGGCCAAGCGATACTCCAGGGAAGTGTTGCCAGGTGTACAATTATTATCACATTTGTAGGATAATTTCAAACCTCATACAACGTATGATCAATAATGGTAAAAGTATTCAAAATGTACCATCATTTTTGAGGCAGCTCGTTGATGTAGCATATGCAAAACCCAGGTCAGTCTCAGGGAGTCTGAACTGACTTTTGGGGTTCCTGTCAGCACTTTCTTATGGCTGCTTGCCTCGAAAGAAAGAAACGCTTCAACTTTGATGAACCAGTTCTCTCTCACTCACTCAGCAACGACCTCAATATAAAGTAAACAGGACAACTTATTTGCATGCTCATTTCCATATTCGTTTCAGTGTACGATGTTTTTCAGCAAATACAGTAATTTTGAGTTTCCGATACGATAATCTCTTATTTAAGACCTGGCAACGCGGCTCCGGAGCAGGCGGCTTGCACTTGCCTTACAGCGGCGCGGCGGCCGGGGCTGCAGCGCCAGGCCCGGGCGGGGAGGCGGCTCTGCTTGCAGCTGCTCCAGCCCCGCTCCATTCTCGCCTCGAGAGCGAGCGCGCGCGCGCTCCGGCCTCCGGCCGGCCACACAGCATGGGCACCGGTAGGAACACAGGCAGCACGTGACTGTGCCGCCGCTGCGGGCCCGCCCCCGCCTCGCTTGTCCCGCCCCTCCCCCGCATGTCTGGGCGCTAGTTGGTTGCCGTCCGTGTCTATCAATAGACGGACGGCTGCTTTCAGCAAAGAGAAAAGGGTGAGCCCCCACGTGACCACTTCTGGGGGTGAGTCATGTGGCGGCGGGCCGAAGCCGGAAGCCGGGTGGGCGGTTGCCGAGCGCTTGGCAGCGTGCACATGCGCGGTCGATGGAGGGGTGTAGGGGAGCCGCCCTCCTATGACATGCAGGCGGAGACGCGGTTTCGAGCTCCCCCGGGTTAGCGCGGGGCGGGGCTTCGCTCAGACGTGCGTGAATAGGGTCGGCCTTCGGGGTGGGCGGGGGAAAACCGCTGGGTTTCAGTACGAAGCCCTAGCCCTGAGCGTGCTGTGGTGTCTCATTAGCTAGGTCTTCCACCCCTGCATTCAGTCACATCATGCACTACATGTGGTGTGTTAGATCGCTTGCTTTCTGATATGCCTCAGGATGAAATACGAGGTGTAGTTTTTTTGTTTTGGGGTTTTGGGTTTTTTTTGTGCAAAAATATATATTTCTCTATAAAACATGGACACACATGGGCAACTGGTGCTGCCTGCATCTGGGGGGGCATCCATAGAAGCCCTCGCTGATGTTGGCAGTGGGGATAGCACTGGCAAGTGCCTGCAGAAGGTGGTGGGGATGAGGCTAATGAGCACCCGCAGAAGAGTGGGGATGGCCCTGTGCCCCCCCTACCAGTCGCCTGTGCACACATACATGCCATCGATACATATACCATCCTGTCTCTGTTCACGTGACAGTCCATAACACATCCACAATTAGCCATCATTACTCCTTTTACAATAACCACAGCCACATGCCTGTGTGCTTGTCTCCATCTGCTGTATCCATTACAATCAAGCAAATTGCCTCTGTGCCCTGCCCTGCCCTGCCCCTTCCCCACCCTGGGCATGATAGTATGATGAGTCATATTTAACAGTGACTGTGGGAAGTCATGCCATAAATAGCCATGTGGCGTACAGTAGTCCAACCACACCCCTAGGCATCAGTGTCAGCCTGTGAAGAAACAGCACTCCCCAGAAGGTGTCTCCATCCAGCTGAGCCAGACAGCCTCAGCTTCCACTGGCAAGACCCTTCCTGTTGTGCCCCTGTAGGATATGCTGCTCACCCCAAATTCATTGTGGTCTTGCAAATCGATAACAATGTTCTGTGGTCCGTTAAATGCAAGTCCCCTTCCTTAAAGCTTCTGAGGCTTCAGCAGCTCCTACATCCTCTAGCTATAATTTGTCCCTCAGGGATTTCCACAAGTCCGGCACACAGCTCATTAACGCTGAAGGTCATCTTGGGCTTTGTAACGGGGGACTGTCTTGATAATTCCTTTTCGCTTGTGAGTTTATTCCACTGCATGAGGAATTTAAATTGGGGTTTTGCCAGGAGAAGTGGGCCCTCTTCTCTGCTTTTCCCCTGACTTGCGGCAATCATATGTATATCTTCATTTCCATCTTTGTTAAAATGGGGATTTAACATTTTCCTGCCTCATAGATTAGGTGAAATTCATTTGTCTATAAAGCACCTGGATATCCTTGAGTTTAACTGCAGAATATTCACTGAAACAGTCTGGTTAATTTAAGTGACAAACATGAAATAAAGATTACATTCACTGACAGAATTAGGGTGAATTGTGAGGGGACAGGTAAGGTAGTAAGTGTGAGTTTTCCTCCTACAAGTTCAATTTCTATTGATATATTTGGGACTGAGGTCATAACCTGGATTTGTGACATCGCTTTAAGCCAGAGAAATTCATGTGTTCTGCTTCAGCAGCAATGAGGAAAATCACTGATGTTTCTTATCCAATTAACTTTCCGATATGAAGGAACTGAGGCCCCTAGAAGTGGTGTAATCCTACATTCCCTGAAATTACTTTTCAAAAATACAGAAGGTATAGCAAGATACATGTAAGAAGATTAAAGAAGAACCTGCTGCAAAATGGAAACATAATTACACCTCACTAGTTTTTTCCCCTTTCATAATTTTGCCCCAACATTCATTAAGAAATTTAGGTTTCATTCCCTTTAACAGTTTAATGTGGATAAAAAAGGGAGCCACCTATTTCTAGTTAAGTAGACTACATGGGGAGAAGGAACAGTCACTTTCCTAACCCTTGCTTACTTCTCTGAATTAAGAACGTCTCAAAGGTGCATAGGAGACTGGACAGGCACCTGACTGGGATCACATGATCCCAGGTTTGGTGACCCTTTTCTTGCCTGCCAGGGTCAGGGGGTTGGACTAGATGGCCCGCTGAGGTCCCTTCCAACCTAGAATCTATGACTCTAGGAAAAGTCAACCACAGGAATAAAATAGAAGAACTGGAAATAAAATCTGAGCAGGAGGGCAAATAGCAGCAGGGACTGAGGGTAGCAATTTTTGGTGAAAAGGAAACAGTTAGCATAGACCTGGGTAGGCAGTAAAAAGCAGGCAGGAGGGGGACAGGACCAGAAAGATGACGACAGGGAGTCAGTAACAGGAGACTGGGGCAATGATAGCCATGCAGTGGGGGAGCATTGCTGAGGCAAGTAGCAGAAAACAGGAAAAGATAAATGACCAGGAGGTGGCAGACAGCATAGGGTTGGTTGAATGGTGAAGCTGAGGAGGTTAAGAGTGATTATGTTTTGAAAAATATTTGTATTGGATTACAGATGGAAAATTTGTTTCTAATATAGGTTTTTTTTTTCTTCAGGAGGGCCTGAGATCAAAGATTAGAGCAGCTTCCAAGCTCCTGATCCTTTAAGAGGAGGGGAGTGGGAGAAGAGAAGCCGGAGCCAATTTTTCTAAGGTGGGGAAGGGAGCAAACACAAGCCACACAACAAGCTGGTGGAGGGGGAACTGGGATATATATACAGCATATGTTAACATCTGTTGACTTAAGGAAGTTTGAAGGACAATAGTAAGTGATTGGGGGTGGGGAGGAGTTGAGGGATACAGGGAAGAAGGATGGGATTTGGGGGTTGGGTTCCTGGGGAGTATAGGGAGGAAGCAGAGAGATGTTTGGGTGTTAGAGCAGGGGTATGTGGAGAAGGATCCAAAGGCTGAGTTTTTTTGGAACTGGAGGAGGGCAAGGCTGGGGAGGGGGATGAATGCTCCTGGGGAAGGAAACAGATGTTTCCTTCAGAGATTGGGAATTAAGGTAGTGGTTTTACAGGGGATGGCTGGGGAAAGAAGGCAAAAACAAGTGTGTTTTTGAGGGATGGGGTCATGAAGAGGAAGGCTTCTAAAAAGGAAGTCACCACTTCCCTCCTCTGGCCCTGCTGGTGTTCTGGAAAAGCTGATTAGGCCCCACAGTTGAGAAGCTGCTTTTTCAGAGTAGACTGAAGAAAGGTCTGGGGTGAGGAAGTATGGTATCTTCAAACTGTGCTTCTGATTATAGCTATCATTTTGAAAGCAAATTTGAAAGTATAAGTATATAAGTATACTTATAAGTGTATTAAGTATAAGTAAATGGAACAGGCCAGTGATCTAGCTAGACAGGCAGCTGGAGACAGCCAAAGAGGAGGGCTATGGTATATGCAGCATCCCATATTGCTCTCCTTGTCAGTCCGTAGGCAGATAGGGTGACTGGAGGAACCCAAATCAGTAACAGCTAGTGGTGGGGTTGAAACAGGAACAGGAGGAAGTACATGTTACTATCTGTGTCTTTTTCTGCCTATAGAAAAGGTGTAGTTAAATTTATATCTTTATGGTTCCCCTCTCCAGCCACGATATGGGACTCCTAAACCTCTAAGCTGTATGCTAGGAAACAGCTGGAAACTACTCAGCTAAGGTCTCTAGAGGTATCTCTTTGAAAGGTCTTTTAGGCTTACAACAAAACACAGGTCACATGCTAATGAAAAATGTGAAATAGAGAATTACGGTTCCCCTCATTCAAAACAAAGCAAAAAGTTAAATTCTGCTATTCCCAAAGGTATAATTACAAAAGCCCTCAAACGTTGGGAAATTAGAATGTGCAGAGTTACTGGTTTCATTGACAGTTTTGGGCCTTTTTTAGCTGAGCTCGAACAGACTAGTTAAGTGAAAGGGAACAGCCTGCTTGGTAAGGCTTCTTGACATGACAGTAGTTCTAAGGCATAATTCTTTGAGGATTAGCATGCGTGCTGAATTATCATCATTTATGGTGACCAACAGTAATCAGCAGCTTGCTACATTTATGTGATATCTGAGTGAAATCTTGTGCTCCCAATATATAGTCTTCTGCCTGTCCACTTAAGAACAGCTGGGGAATAAACAGTGGAACAGATTAAAGGCAATCCAGTGGAGGGCAGCAGTGCACCACACACACAAACACTGTCAGATCCTAGAATCAGGGCTGAAAGGGTCATTCAGTCCAAACCTTAAGGGCAGTGTACTTCTTTGAGAGTATTCACTTGTAACCTTCCAAGTATTACACTTCAATAAAACACATTTATAAAGCCAAAGAGCCACAAAGCATTCCTCTTCAAGATTACTTCAAATTGTACTTATTTGTATTTACATATCGAAGGCTCAAAAGATGCTGATGAGGCTCAGAAATGGTTCTGCAGCCATTATTAGAAGGTAAAGCATTCTCTTCCTTCCATATCAACTTTGCCTCCACTGCAGGATGGAGGGCACTAAATACAGCAAAAAGCTGGCAAGTAAAACCAGGAACCTTCACACTGGGGGCCTTCATATTTGCAATAGTTAGCAAAACAGGACGGAGTACATGCAGTACTTCTGGCTGTTAATGTGATATAACTGCATCTTTGTTCTAAGATATGACTCTGAATATGGTATTGTGGGTTCTGTATTTATTGGCTCTACCTGTTTCAATATTGAATCTGTTCTGATATATACAGAACTTTTTTAACTTATCAGCCTTATAAATTCACTAACC